TTGCATGGGGTCACACTCTTTCAGGGAGGGGATATCTCTGCCCCTGGGCCAGGTCTCCAACCTTCAACTTAATATCTCCAGCTGCAGGGCAAAGGCAAAAAGAATGTCCTTGTTTATGTTTATAAAGTACAATGGTCTTTTAACCAAATCATTAACAATTTTGTGGAAAGAAAACCGTTAGCAGTGACGGTCAGGAAAGCAGCAGTTGGAGTAATTGCTCTGTGAAACTGTACACATGGGGATTCATCAAGCAGTATTTTGTGCGCCTGTTCTTGAATTTAGAAGGCTGGTGGGTAAAATGTTCACAATTTCTCTCAAAAATTACAAACAAAAAAAAACTAAATTAACTTAATTTTTGTCTGTGGCTTGCTGTAGAACACATTTCAGCCATGGATTTGTGTGGGCTGCAGATCTGTGACAGGCTCCCTCTGCTTACCTCCCCCCTCAGCTATCCCAGTAGCTGTCCCCAAGACAGTGACTCACGAGCCATCATACTGTACACGTCCCTCCTGTAGATGGGGTGGAAGGTCACGTTGTTCCTGGGCCCCACACTTCTCTTCCACCTCCTCCAGGGAGTTAAGAACGCCTCCACCACTGCGTCTAGCAGCTGGGTATTCAGGAAGTCGATGACAGGGCCCCCAGGGCGGTACTGGAACTCCGAGATGATGCTCCAGCGGTGAAGGAAGCTTCCTGAGGCCAGTGCTATTGGGGGTTCACTGTATGGGAGGGGCACAGTGAGGGGCCAAGGGGTGAGGAGTTTGGGGGAGGACCCAGCGACCAGGTGGGGACAGTCCCACTTACATTCGATCCACTTGTCTGTTCCGGAGAAAGGCACGCACATCCAGGTTCCTCAGTCTATAGGCCACCTAACGCAGAGGATGGGAGTTGGGGTGGGAGGGTGGAAGTGAGAGTGAGGCCCAATCCAGAGAGGAGACCCTTCCCACTTTACTGCCCATATTCAACCCTTTCTGTTTCCTTCCTCCCCTTTTTTTTCTGGCCACACCCCACGGCTTGTGGGATCTCAGTTCCCTGACCAGGGACTGAACCCGGGCCACAGCAGTGGAAGCCTGGAATCCTAACCACTAGGCCACCAGGGAACTCCCTGTTTCCTTCTTTGAAGATGAGGACCCAAGACACCAGAATGTTTCTTATGCATTTCTGCATCCCCACACCCCAGCCTAGCCTGGTGACTGGCACAGGTCCCTGCTTAATAGAAGTTTCTTGGTGAGTGAAGGACTTTACATATCCTCACCCCCACTTCCTATCACAAGGGGAGAATCTGAAATGAATGACCTCTACCTTGCCTCTGATCCCCGATTTACCCACTCATTCTCTCCCCACGTGTATATTGAACAGAGATTATATTTAGCCAGTCCTAGGGGATGGTCAGGTGTGAGCGATGTCAGTGTGACTTAGGAACAGTCCATTCTCAAAGACCCATAGTCTGGCGCAGTAGACAAATGTTAACAGCTTTTACCGTACAGAGTGTGGAGTGCTGTAGCAGTAGCCACAGTAGTAATAATCATTTGGATAATTTTTTTTTAATACATTGTGTTTTAGGCACCGTGCTGAGTGCTTTACCTACATTATCATTTAAACCTTGGCACAAACCATTGACATAAGTACTGTTATTACTTTTATTTTTACAGATGGGAGTTCAAATAATTTGTCTAATTATTACACCTGCTCTAGTGAGTGGTAGTGTCAGGATTTGAACCTGGGTAGGATTCTAGAGCCTCAATAACTCAACTACTGTGCTACTTTGCCTGTGATTGGGGAATGGACAAGGGCATGGGAGCCAAGAAGAGGGAGGCCCAGTTTCCTCGGCAAAGTCAGGGAAGGCTTCCTGGAGGTGAAATGCCCTCTTGTGTTTCCTCCATATAATATCCAAGGGCAGGTCTGGAGGGATGCTCGGAAGGAAAGGCTGCATTGACTCGGCCACCCTGGACTCTATTCATTGCGAGTTGGTCATTCTAACCCCCTCGGAGGTCTCTGTCCTAGGCCTTCCTGCTTTCCTCACCCTCAGCCTTCCCTGGGGCAGGAGGCTCCAGCCTCCTCTGGCAGTTGAATCTAGACGGATTATGAGAGGCAGAACGCACAAGCCATGGCTAAGACCCCACCCTGAACCTGCCAAGACCCGTCCCCCACCCAGAGCTGGCCTGCAGCACTGACCGAGGCATTGACATCTGCTTGGGAGGCACCTTCGTCTTCAATGAGTGAGAGATGGATGATCCTCAAGGGAAGCTCTGGAGATGGGAGAATGAGGTTCATAATCACCTCACAGGTTTACCAGAAGGATCAGCAGAAGTGGCCAAGTCTGCTGACCCTCACACAAATGCATGTTGGACTATGGTCAAGGCTTCCCTGACTCTTGTCTTGCTGAGCTATGAGGTCACCTTAGGTCTTTCCTCAGCAGACTGCTCAGGCCCGTGGTTCATGCTGTGACAGCTGCCCCCCCACTCGCTCCCATAGCCTACAACTTACCACCACCTGAGGGAAATGTGTGTTTGAGGGACTTAGCCTGGCCCCCAGAGCCCCATATTGTCCCCCAAAGAGAGAGAAGTGGGGATGGTGGAGTATCTGGTCATACCTCGACGGACGGTTGGAGTGAAATTGTTCCCAGCCAGGAGGCAGCGGGTGTCGGTGAAGGCTGGGGGGCAGGTGCAGGCGGGCTGGCAGGCCAGAGCCTGGGAGAGGTAGCAGTGGCCGTCGTTGTAGCAGTAATTCTCAGGGCAGGACTTGTTCTGACAGAGGAAGGGGCTCTCCAGAGCTGCAGGGGGAGCAGAGAGGTCAGCAACACCTCACTCAGCAGCAAGGGGCGGCCCCCGGCCCAGGGAAAGCCGCTCCCAGGACAGGCTTGATCTCTTTCCCGCAACGACCACTTAAACTGCATTCTGCTTGTGGGCCACTCTGAACCCCAAACTATCCTTATTCCTTTTCCAGACATTTCTGAGCCGGGCAACCCTTCTTCCCCTGCCAGGTAAGGGTTCTCTCAATTCTGCTGAGGGAATAGAGTGTTTATCAGACCCTTCCCATCAGGAAAGGACTCTCTTTCAGGAAAGCCCACCGACCTGTTTTCTTCACTTCCATCCCCTTTTCTGCCTTTATAAGGCTGTGGTTCTACCTCTCTGGTCTCTGCTCAGAAGATGCAGTGGTCTCTAGATTTCACTGGGGCGCTTCAGGGGGCTTAGTGGAGGCCTCACCGTGATGCCCTCATGACTCTGATGGCTCAAAGGTCAAGCAACAGATGGTGGAAGGAGGACTCAAAGGGAAGACGAGGCACCCCTGCCACCAGATGGCCATGGCAGCACCCCTGCCCCCCCATCCCCCCCTCACACAATGTCCTGACTAGGGAAATGCAGAGACCCTGGGCCTTGCATCTCTGAAAACCCCCGGAGCCTGAGGGCCCCACCCCAGCTTACTTCTGGCTCCCTGGCTGCTGCTAAAAGTTCCCTCCCCTCTCCAGGCCATCTTCAGTCTTTTGCCCTGGGTTTCCCCCAACAGTGCCTCAGGGCTTCTCAGCTCTGGCCCCTCCTCCATGCCTGTACAATCTCTTCTCCTTCGTCCTCACACCCTGCCATACCCACCTTACCTCCTTACCGTACCCACCTGTATTGAATATTCTAAAGACTTGCTGGAAAGGGGGGAGAAATCGTTTGCCCAGTTGTCTTAGGCCCTCGAGATGTCACCTGCCCCCAGAACCTCCTCCTGCCAAGGCCCTGTCCCCAGCTCACGTGCACAGTGACGTCCATCCCCAGTCAGGTTCGGGGGGCAGGCCTCGCAGCCCTTCCCGGAAATGCACTTCACATTCCGGAAGCACTGCTCGTCACAGGGGTCCTTGGTGCGGTTGCAGTAGCGGCCTGTGGCGTTCCCGTCACACTTGCAGTCGGCCACCTGGAATAGGTTGCTGATCACTGGGCGGCCAGGAGGCTGAACCATTAAGGGTTTCTGGGGTGTTGCTGTACCAACCCCTCAGGTCTGAGAACCCATGGACCCTGAGTCCTTGTCTTAATTCTGCCAGTATCCACTGAGTAGCTTCTTGAACAGGCCCTGGGCCTGCACGTCCCTGTCAAAGGCAGACCGTCCTCCAGGCCACGTGGCCTCCCTGGGCCATCCTTTTCCTGAGCCCTCTGCCTGGTCTCTGCTCCAGGATCCCAGCCTCTTCCCTCTTACAGCAGATCTCCTTGCCTGAAACCCTTCCTAGACAGGCGCTAAATAAATAAATATTCTACTATCCCTGGAAAACTGGATCCTACGTAAGCTGCAGTTTCCTGCTCTCTCTTTCCTTGCTGACTCCCAACCAAGAAGGAGGCTCGTTGCTGAGCACAGTGAGAGCGCGCAACAACCAGAACAAGGGCACAGGGAGGGGAATCGTCCAGATCCTCATCAAGTTCCTCATCTCTCTTTTCTATCTTGCCTACTGAGATGACGCTGGGAAGCTCCCCGAAATGGAATCCTTTAACACTTTGTACTGCCAAGACTGGATATCTTGGGATATCTAAAATAATATATTGATCTTAATCCCTTTCCCCCCCACTCTGTATTTTTTTCCTTTTCTGCCTCCTGGACTCCTCCACCTCTCTCCCTTTCAAGTAGGAATTCTCTGCTCATGCTTCAGGAGAAGGGTGTGTGTGTGTGTGTGTGTGTGTGTGTGTAAGAGGTGAAGGAGGTAGTGGGGTATTGCCAGCCGAACACTTTCCTTTCTGACCCCCCCCAAAAAGTTAAAAAAAAAAAAAAGCAGGTGGGGCCAGATTCATGGACTTAGGCTAAGTATCGTGGCTAGAAACTTGAATGGAGAAGGGTTTTCTTCAAACTGCAACAGAGATGCTTCTTTTAGTTGGAGGAAGAGAGTAAAAGGGGGAAAAAAAGGTTTTGGGGGGACCAAGATCAGAGCAATCTGTACTTCTCTTCCCAACACCATGAAGATGAAGCCCCAGAGAAATGGCTACGCAGTGCTTCTAGGCAGACGGGACCCTAAGCCACTCTGCCTAAGCCACAAGGTTTCCTGTCTGAGCAACACACAGAAGCCACAGAACACTCCCCTATGTCTGAAGGGAGGGTGCATGGAGCTGTGATCCGTGTAGACTCAGGCCCAGGGACCACATGGGCACCTTCCTACCCACATCTTACTGTCTTACTTCACTGTCTTACTCCAGAACCATGGAGCTGGCAACCACTGGGCAACTCTAAGAAAGACTGAGGTGGAAGTTTCCTGCCAGCCTGGCTAAATGGGAGCTGGGAGATAAAAATTCAGTTGAGCTATAAGCAGTAAAGAAAGTTCTATTTCTTACACTTGTAAGTTTGTGGCCCGAGATTGGTGTCTGCTCTACTCACCTACCACAGCTCCACTCGCCCCCCAACACACACATTAGCACAGAGGAGCTGAAGGACAACATCTTTTCAGTTCCCACTTCCTTTCCCTCAACTTGGAAACCCCCCCACCCCACCCAACCCTCTTCACCACTCACCTCCAGGGAGGAATCGCCCACATAGCTGGTCTGGTTGTATAAACACTGGCTCTCTGCCTTGCACGCACAGACCACTGTCCTTGGCTTGAGTACAGATGACAAGTTGTCCTTGGCACTTCTTGCTAGAATCTCCAGAGTAAATGGTCCCAGCAACTTTGGTGTCCATAGCAATGTCCCATTCTCTGCCCCAGGGAAGACGAGACTGTTGAGAGCTGGAGGCCTCAACTGCTCTGCTCTCTGCCACCCCAAGTGCTGATGCTGGACATCCCCCCACCCCAGAACACCCCTCCAATTTTTTCCGGCATTTCCTTGAGCAAGGCTGGTTTCCTGGTGTGATCGTGATCATGCTCTGAGCTGGAGGTGGCACCAGCCCAACTCAGTGATTGTAGGGTGGAACCTCACAGAGGGGGAAGCAGATGCTCCCCCTGAAGAGACCCCAAAAGGCAATGCTGCTTAGGCCTGCACCAGGATGGGACATCCAGGGGGAATGGAGGATGAAGGCCAGGATCCTCCCAACACTTCCCCAGGCTACAATGCAGGCCAAACTGATTCCAGCTTCATGGCATCCTCATCCCTCACCCTGATTTCTCACCCACTGCTCTCATTGCCTGGACTTTTGACCAGCCACCTTCAGACACCAGACTACAGTGAAACACTGCTACCTATCAATAAGGACTCTTCTGATCCAACCTTTCTTATGTTTTTCAAGAAAATAAGAACGTCTCCTTAAAACAGTAGATTGAGAAGAGCTGATAGGAGGGAACAAACGAGCATAACTTCCAGGACAACACTCTTCAGGATAGGAGCCCCGTGGAGGAGAAAATCTCCTGATACTATTAATTTGGCACTTGGGGGGATGCTATATGGAGCAACAGGGTACAGCCAAAGCAGTCCCTTCTTATGCACAGAGAAAGAAAATGAGTCAGAGAGGTGCTCAGAGCTCAGAATAAGGTCCCTAAGGGCTTTGGTTTTAGCAAAGAACAGTCACCAGCTTAATGAGTGCTGGCAACAGAAGGCCTACATCCTCCTGTGGGCTTTGACTCTTTTTTTTTTTGGCACTTTTTTTTTTTTTTTTTTTTGCGTGCCTCGTGGT